TTCATAAACATGATACTCTCGGCCAAATGACGACGGAACTTACCTCTTATAAAACTCAAGAGGCTAAATCACTCGTACTCCCGTGCTTGGTCGTGACCTCCGCGTGCGTGCGTGCGTTGCCTCGTACTAGCGTGCGGTTGCTTGCGGGCGTGCGGTACGTGCGCTCTCGGCAGTGTACACGGACAACCCTCACAAAAATCCCACAACTCTCACTAAAACTCTCTATCTTTCGGCACTAGAACTAAGGAGGAAAAGGAAATGGAACTAAATTTTCCAAGTCTCTCTCATTTAACTAAGGGCCGAAATGCATTAGGGTGTGGGGGAGTGAAATGGTCAAATGCTTGAGACACTTGTCTCACATGCCATCAAATTTTAGGACACAACACACTAAATGCCAAAGTAGCATGCATAAAGCTCCAACCTCTTCTTGGCCTCAAAGTCACGTGAATGAGCTAGCAAAATTGGGAGGAAATGCTTGAAAGTGCACGGCATTTACAAGAAATTTAATAATGTAGGCACAACACTCCAAATGCTAGGATAAAACATGAACACATGCACTAGACTCCAACACAATTCCCACGGCACAAGAATACAATGAAGTGCACGGACTCTAAGGACAATGTTGGGTGGAATCTCTTGACTACACAACAAAAGGCACGGCCTTCATTACTTGGTGGGGGAAACTATGCACAAAACACCAACAAGCTACATGACAAAAATGCATGGCTACTAACACATGATGCACACGGCATTTGCAAGGAAAATAGCACAATGTGCACGGCATTTTACTTAAGTTTGGATTAATTAGTACTTAATCCCTCAATTATGTTTAATTATCTAATTAAACATAATGCTTAATTACCAAAATTATTTCGAACGTCAACGGTACGTCGAAAATAGTTCTGGTAATATCGACTGAAATAACTGAAAATAATTAATTCCGAAAAATCATATCGGAACTAAAATATTATTATACTGATAAAAGTCGGGATATTACACGAGCTTTATTATATTTTGTTAAGTCGAGCTATTAGTAATGGCTAAGTCGAACTTGAGAAGAGAAACTGAGTCTGCGCCCGCAGTGTTTATACCTGGCCCGCAGTGTTCTCTCGTTCGCACCAACAAGAAGGAGAAAGTCTCTCCATCTCTCTCTCGCTCAATCCTATCGCCCTCACCACCAAGCTTTCGGCCTTGTTCATTCTTCCGTCACTTGCAGCCCTATCGCCGGCAATTCCCAGCACGCAGGCGCACGACGTCCTTCCCGGTGCTAATCCGCGAATACCGGTGCGCCACCACCCTTCGGGACGACGAATTCCCTGCAGCGACGTCTCCTTCCCCATCCACCGCTCGCATTTGGAAGTCCGATCCCCAGCAACGGCGCCTTCCCTCCATGTGCAGCAACCCGTTATTCGCTCGCGCCCGCGTAGCTAGCCATTGTCCGAGGCCTTTAGCTGACTCCACACCCATCCTTTGCTTGTAGATTCATGGGTGCACGGTATAATTGGCTTTAACCCTCTGATTCTATTTGTTTTCAATGGTATAAGTTGGGATCTTTATTGCCTTGTATGGTGTACTAACTGTTGAATCAAGATCTATTCGAT